ATCATTATTTGGGGTTGATAAATAGAGTACTAGCGGGTATTTTTATAGAAATAGTTAATGAAAATGATCGAAAGCTGTGTAGATATGTTATAGGATTACTAAATTATTTTTATAAAATTGTTTTAAGAGAAAATATTGTTGTAATATCATTATTATCCTTTGACAGAGATGTCCAAACTTGTATTTTAATTATGGGAGTTATAAATTAACATTTAAAAATTGTTATAAGAAAATATCCTACCCCTACCCTTGGATTACAAGATCCTGTCCTTATTATCACTTTTAAATTGTTATTTTTGTATTTTTTTACTGAATTTCTTTTCTAATTAAATAGTTTTAGGTAAACTGGCTGTAATCTGGCCTATTACTATATGTTTTTTTGCTGTTTTATTAATTTATTTAAGGACTCGCTTACCTTCTTCCTATAGTTATCCATTCATATAAGGATTTGTTTCGTTGCTTTGATGACTTGCGTTATATTTGGGCGAACTTTTGATTTGTTTCTCCAGTTCTCCTCTGTTTCGTTGTTGCCTATGTTCCTCTTCACTCTCACTCTTGCTGCTAACATTGACCGTTACTGCTACCGTTACTTGTTACTGTTACTCCCACAAGCGGTTACTGTTACTTTTACTATTGCTGTTGTTGTTTTTGTGGTTGTTGATGATGCCGCATTCGTTGTTGCTGGTATTTTCTTTGTTTGTGAGGAAAGCAGACGCAACAGCGACGACGCTTTCCCAAACGCTGAGCTAGCAGCATTTTGGAGCACCTGCGAACAGCGAATTTTCCTTACGATGTTTCCTTGTCTCCTCCTGCTCCTGCTCCTTCACCTTCTTCTTCGTCTTCTTCCGCTTCCTCTGTTTCTTGTGGGCTAACTGCTTGGCGTTTCGTGTAGCGGCATTTTAGGAGTATTTGCTTTCACTGTAAACGTATTTCCTTTTCCTTCCTGTGTTGGCTTTTTTCGCAGTTTCCTTTTGGTTTCTTATTCTGGTTCCTTGTTCTAGCACTGTTTTTTCTCTCGTCTTCGTCGTTGTTGTTGTTGTGGTTGTCGTTGCTTTAGCTGTTTTGTAAATGGACGTTTTGTTGTTGTTGCTGGCTTTCTGGCTTGGCTTGGCTTGGCTTAATTTTGATATGTGTCGTGTGTTTGTTTTGTTTTATTTTTGTTTCACTTGTTAGTTTTAGTTGCTTGGCCCTTGGCTTCGTTGTTTTTTTGTTGTTTAAGTTTTAGTTAACTTCCTGGCCTCCTCTTATTGTATTTTGTCTGTCCTTTTTGGGCCGTCTTTGCTCCTGCTGCTGCTGCTGCTGCTTCTTCCTTCCTTGCCTGCTCTCCTTCTTCGTTCGCCTCTTCTTCTTCTTCGCCAGTCAGCTGTCATTGACATGTGCTCTCTTCATCTCTCTCTCTGTTCGAATGCTCTGGTATTTGCTCTCCCGCTCACTCTCTCTTGGCATTTGGGGTGGCTCGCACTTTCTCCCCCTCAGAGAGAGAGAGAGAGCCCGTGTGAATGGCCGCCCTCTTTGTTGGTGTTGTACAATGCAATAATATAATGTCCTATAATCGACGACGTTTATCAATTTGTCCTGTCATCGCCACACAAGAATCAACTACAAAACAAAAAACTAGCCGTATTTTCGAATGATTCCCCTCGAGAACGAGGTTTTTTAAGGGGCTAATTTGATATTCTTTTAATTTTCACTCGCAGTCACTCTTTTGCAGGTGTATGTGTATATGTGGGACATTAGGCGCGCGCCTTTTACCGTTATCCGCTGACAGGCGATGACTTCACCGCTTTTTACTGGGTTAACTTTTTGATTTCGACTGTTTCGGCCTTCCGGAGGTTATTATTTACACAGTTCCACACAGTGGTTAATATTATTATGGGGAAATGAAACAAAAACCGACAGACTCGCGCAGCTACAAGTCTTCTTTTGCACAACTTTTACGCTTTGCCTTTTGTTACGCTGCTTCTTCCCTTTTCTTTGGCATTCCATTCTGGCTTTCTCTCCTTGGCGCTCTCTTCAACCTCTCTCTCTCTCTCTCACGCTCTCCCATTCAGCTTTTGGGTTTTTTCTTCACGCGTGTTGTTGTTTTTTTCGGGGTTGTTTTCTCTTTTTCGACAGCTGGCTACAAAAAAGTTGCCAAAGGCAAAATTATTCCATTTCTCACGGTTCTCTCGCGTTATCTCTCTGTTTCGTTCTCTCAGCTGTCAAGCTCTGCAACCCCCTTACAGTTTGGCTGTCACTGGCTTAACCACAGTTTTAGAGCGATTGCCCACTCGTTGTTCTTGTTGTTTGTTTTGCTTGGCTTTTCCCAGCGGCGCTTTCCAACACTATCCATCGCCATGTGCTCTGCAGGCATTTTGCAACCCCCAACCCCTTGAAAAATTCCCTAATTGGCCGCGTTGAGGCATTTCAAAGTGTTCTCCTGTTTATATTTTCTCTTTTTAATGCATAATTAATGCGATAGGGCGCCAATTTGGAAGGGTCAGAGGGGGGAAAATGGGGTTGGAACCCTTGTTTAGTTAACAGTCAAGCATCCTGCGGCGACAGCTTGTCCTGACAGCCAAGGAGAGCGTTCCGGAAATGGAGTGGGTGTTACGTTGTACGTGTATATAGAATATGGAATATGGTTGGGTGGCCCCACCTCTGACCTTGACTGGTTACGGGTTGCCAAAATGTTGGTCCCAGGTCCCCAGGGGGGTGGGTGGGTATTTCAATTTTATAAAATAGACTAGAGAAGGTTAAACTGTTTAGAGGGAAAGCGAGCATAGAAAAAAAGACTTTAAGACGAGGGAAATGAATTAAAATACCTCGATTTGGTGCCTTGTTTATTGTATATTTTTCAAATATAGATTTTTTGTTTAAGATAATTTAGATACCATGAGAAATTTAATTTTGTTACTTTTCTATATTTTAAAATATTTTTTATAAAGGCTTTTGGTTATGAAAAGAACACAAAAAACTCACAAAGAGAACTTTTTCCTAGTAAAAAATTATTTAAAAAGTTTAAACTTGTATATTAATCAGCTTTTAATATTCTCTTCTTTTAGAAAGCTTAATTTTAATTTGATTGCCAATCACAAAAGTCTCTTGGTCCACAGGAAAACCCTCCCCCTTGGCTTTTTAATCCGCAAGGATAATCAATCATCCCAAAAAACTTCCGTTATGTTCACAGCTTTGCCTCACCTCAAACTCATAACCAACACAACAATAGACCCTCGGTAATAGTTCTAATGAGCTAACCCCATTTTAAAGCCCAGCGACGACTAATTGAAGCATAAGTAACGAGCCTGTTAACAGTTTGGCTAGATACCCAAACCCACAGGAGCAGGGCTCTAAAGGGTTGCTGCTGCTGCTGCTCCAGCTTAAACACATTTCGGGGGTGGCTGTGGCTCTTGTTCTTTTCGGTCCACAAGGCCCCCGTTGGCTAGTTAACATCCACGTGTTTGTACATGAATTTAATCTCGGCGCAAACAAAGTAACAAGAATTCAATTTGTCACAGTGGTTGGGCCTCCGCTTCGTTTGGTTTCAGTTCCGGGTTTTGGGCGGCTCAACCAGGAAGGAATTCAGAGGCAGAAACAGGCAGAGTTGGCCAAGGAACCAAGGCAAACATTGCCTGGCAACGGTAGCTGAGAGAGATAAGCCCCATGATCTAGCCAAAGGGGGAAGTTGTGGGAGTGTGTCGGGTTTTGCACAGGGAGAAATATGCAGACAGGATACTGAAGAGTAAAGATTCTTGGATAATGCAATCGATTTCAAGGTTGCTATATGTATTTTAAAAGAGGATATCTTTGGAAAATCAAAGTCGAGTGATTTTGATTTAATAAATTCATTTAAAAACTTGATTTAAAAGGTTTTTTTTTAGCAAATAAGATAGATACTTTCATCATTATGGCTTTGTATACAATTTAATATTAAATATTATTTAAATATATATATTTTTCACCCTAGAATCTCCCCTATTTCCCGCCGTGTCCTTGACTAAGGTAGAGGGGGGGCTGCAAATATTTGCATTTCGCTTGTTTTTTGGGGTGTTGCGTTAGGCAAAGCCAAAAGCCTCCGGGGACTTGTTAATGCAAACAATGCGCATTTGATATTGAAAGCATCGGCACAGAACAGTCCGTGTCCTTCGTCCTTCGTCCCATTTGGGGGTAGTTTAATGCTGGAAGCCAGCCTGCTGGCGTGGAGAGAAGCTGGCAAAGCTCTGCTTCGCTTGCAACCGCACGAACTCCAACGCAGGTCTGCATTAATGTGTATTTCCGGGGAGACGAAGGGTATATACATATGGGTGTATATATAGGGTGTTGTGGCCAGGGTGCTCCGGAAGTCGATTTATGTTTTGCACACACACAGGCCCCAACATGTTTATGCACGCACAGAAAAATTATGCATTTAAATAACACCAGAAGTTTTCTGTTTTATATGGTTTACCTAATTATATGATTAACTTTTTAAGTAAATTTGGCCTGAAATATTTTTTAAGTTCCTAAAGTCAATATTTCCTATGAAGTTTGGTTTTAAAAACACTTGAAAATAAGCAGAAAAGTATGCTAAAAAATATTATTTTATATTATTAAATATTTTTAAGCCAGAACAGCTTTTAAATTGTTTTTAAATTGATCTACATACACATTATTATTTCATTTAAAATGTTTTAAATATAATAATAATTTTTTTTTTTTCTATTTAGATAATTTACTTGAGCTGGTGACAACTTTTCTGTGGATGTTTTCGGTCCAGTAAATGTTGTTGATTTTGAGCCACAGCTGTTCAGGGGACTCCCCCCCTATATATTGCACTGCTGCAACATCGTACATCCCCTGCTACAGGGGAGGCTTTGTCATGGAAATCCCTGGGCTAACCGCTTTTTAAACTGCCTTCTAATGATGCGGCCCTTGTCTAGGATAAAGTCTAGCCCCTGTTTTAATTTTTCCCCATACCAACCGCCGATAAGGATATACATATATCCTTATATATGTATACAAGACTGGCTTTAATGGCTTACCTTATCTTCGGCTTCCTCGGCGCGCTCTTCCGCTTCGATGACGCGCTGCTCCAACTCCGTTAGCTGCAAGAACAGAGGAGAAACCGGGTTAGGACTCAGGGAAATCATGTGCAAAATAACAGTCTGCATCGTCGGCATCTCCGACAGCTAATAAATAATAGTAGAAACCGTTTTTATTGGTTATCCCAAGTGTTAATTATATGACTTTCGCATGACTAAACATTAACTAAAGGGGTTTCACTCGATTAGGAAGGAATTATTGGGGTCTTGAAATCTTTAAAAATCGCTTTAAAATCTATGGTATAAGAGAAAGGTATTCAAAATGGCATTATATTTTTAAATTTAAATTTGTATTTTTTTTTTTCATATTTTTAGACAACTATTTAAGATTAAAAACAGTTCTGATTTAGTTTTCATTGTCTAAAATTTATATTTTTATTATTATTTATTTTAAGAAATTAAGTAAAGTCCGTAAAATGTTAAGATATGTAGTTTTGTAAAGTAAAGTAAAATTATTAGGATTTTAGTTTTTTTTCTTTTTTTAACCTTTAACTTTAAAAATGTTTATACCTCCAATTAAGCTTAGGTATTTTAGTATAAAAATTCATTTAATAGGCAATTTAATATTTATTTATAATTTTAGACGGTTCGTTCACTCAGATTTTATTGATATTTATTTATTTATTTGGTTGGTGGAAACCCCTTTCACATTTTCTGTGTCATGGTCTGTATTTATTAAATTTAAATAGCTTTATTTTTTTGTATAAATTTAATTAGTTTTTATCTTGATTTTAAAAGGGATTTGACAAGGTGTTTTGTTTTTTAACGTTTTACATTTACATTTGACATGTATGGTGAGTTTAGCTGATACACCGAACCACATCCAGTAACTCACCACCACTTTTGTCTAGACACACACCCAAGCCACAAAAGGACTTCCCATTATTTTTTAAGGTTTAGCTGTGGTGAATTCCTTGGACACAGCCCACAGATGGCGCCAGCAGTGCCTTTTTGTTACGAAAAAATTTAAGAAAATCGAAAGGAAAATCAAAAAAAGAGCAGAAAAAAATCCTAAAAAAATATAAAAACTCCAGCTAACCATCAATAAATCAATCTTGGAAAATGACACATAATTTGGCCACGAATAAGGATAATGCTCGTGCATTGGATAATTTTGTATTTATTTATTTATATATTTTTGTTGTTTTTTGCACCTGCTTTGAAAATTTGCCAACGTACGCGCAACCATTAAGGTAATCATCTCGAGCGCTTTTCCACGCTTTTCCGCAATGATGGCCTGTCATTAGGCCAAGAAAAAGGAGGCATTTCTCACCAATTAATCATCTTAAAACGAGGAAGGAGCAGGGGATGAAGAGCAGGAAGCTGAGCCTGCTGCCACTTGATTCCGCCTATTTTGAATGCCTTAAGTGCATTAATTTCCGCTTTTTATGCCATTCAAGTGGCCACTCAGGCAGCCCGCAGCAAGAGGCAGGAGGCGAAGGAGCGAAAGGGAAGCTATTGATGGATGCCTGTCAAATTGTTGTGCCTGCCGAGGAATACGAAGGAGTCTCTCTGCTGGATTTCTTTTCCCTTTTTTTTTTGCAAATCGATGATGAATGGGTTGGGGTAGAAAAGGTGGAGAAGGAGGCTTGTTAAGTGGAACTCTCCAACTGATTCTGGCTTTTATTTTACCCTTTTCAATGGGAAACCTGCCTTTAGCCCAGAATTTGGCAAAGCTAAAGTCGTTTTTAAACGATTTAATTTCGTTTTTTTTTTAATCTACATATATTAAAAATAATACAATTAATTTCAAAAAATAAAACTCAGTGTAAGGTTAATAAATAGAAACTATTCTTTTTTCTATTCTTTTAAAAACAAAGAGTTCTTGGCCACTTTGCGGCCAACTGGGACCCTTCTCGGACACTAAAAAAATTGACCATTGGAATACAAATTGTGAAAACCTGTACTTCCGATGACATCTGGCTAGGAGAGAGCTAATCAAGTTGGCTTTGATTAACATTTATGTTGGGGACTGTCATTGCAAAAGACAGAGTGTGCAGAACAAAGAGAGAAAATATACGTGTAAAACGAACGTAACTATTTGTATTATTGGTGAGATTACCATCCGGTAATACACAAATCAAAATCAAAATGAAGAAAAAATTAAACAAAAAATTAAAAAAAAATTAAAAAAAAATTAAATAAATTGAAGAGAGACTCGGTCGAATCCCAAGGACCGAATGAATAACTAAGGCAACCTTTTGTAGCAGGTAAACTTCTCATGGCCTACTTGAAAGGGTTGGCAATAATTATATTTTAAATAATTCTAAAAAAAGGGTCACACTTTAAGAAAGAAAATAGTGCACCTTTTTGGAATCAGGTAAACTTCTAATGGCCTATTTGAAAGGGCTTTATTAAAATATTAATAATTCAGAATAATCTTATTATGAATAATTTTGAAAAGGGTGACACTTTATTAAGAAAGAAAGGGTCATACTTTTATAAGTAAGAAAGGGTCATACTTTTATAAGAAAGCTAGGTTCGCACTTTTTTTTTTTAAAAAGGAACTACAAGAACTCTGGTCACCTTTAATGATTCTGATATCACAAACGATATTGCATTGAATTTATTCAGTTTTTCTTAGTTTTTCGCCTGACTTTGGTTTGAGTTTTCTTTTGTTTTCTTTCATTTTTGAGGGGCGGGGGCTGTTGCCGAAAACTTGGCCAAAACTAATGGATTACACGAAAAGCTGGCTGGCAAAAAGTTAGGCTCGGCTTTTGCGTGCGTGCCAGCGTGTAAAGATTGTTGGACTTGGTTCATCCCCTCTCTCAGTTACACCTGGTTTAATCATAGGCGTTTTTGGCCTGCCAATTGGCGAGTTAATTGGAAGGAAACTGCTTCGGCTTTAAGCAGAAACATTTGCCATTAATTGCTGCAGGAGGAGAGGTGGAGAAGGTACCAGGTACAGGAGGTGCGGGGACAAAGCAACAAAAGCAGAAACAGAAGCAGACACTTCAGACCTCAGAGTCTGCAGAACTTTTACAACTTTGTCGTCGTTGCAACAGAGTCGCAGCAAAAACAGTGGCAAAATCACCGCGAAAACAGCGCTTGGAAAATGCTGTGTAATTTCCCAGCCACGAATGCAATTCCCGCAAACAAATGGCTCACACAATGCTGGCCCCCCTTCTTGCCTTTTGGCCAAAGGAGGTGACTTTGGCCATTAGTCGGTTTTAGGTGTCGTTGGCTCTGGCTGTGTTGCTACTCCAAAGTTGCCAGCGAATGTGCCACTAAAAGTTGTCCTTCCACCCGATTACCAGGATATGGGGTTAAAATGCACGGGGATCTTGATATGGTGGGGTTGGGGGTGGGACGAGAAGAAGCAGCAAACCCCTTTTACCTTTCACCTTTAAACTGAAGCTTTGTATTTCCTTTTTTAATTCGATTTGTATTGCTTTTACGGGGATATAACTCTGTATACTTAGCATAATCTCTGTTAAGGTGCCGGGAAAATCGATATATATATATATTATTATAATATAATATTTAATATTATATTTTATATATTATTAAGAATCAAAAAAATAGAGTAACTTGTATACATCAAAGCGGACATAAGCGGGTAGATCATCTAAAGATATTAAATACTTACAAAAAATCGAACTTTCCGCATTAGTTTCGCTAAATGCTCAAAAAAGGACTTGCAAACGGACGAAAAGCGGACGAGTATCACGCATAATCAGGATTATACTCGCTTATAATGTTCCGAAACCTATGACAGGTTATTAACTTTATTATTTTGTCCGCCTGAAATCCGCAAAAAACTATCGTTTTCAATATCATAAACGAAGTTTTTGTCTAATGGGTAGGGGAAACTTTCTGAGCTAATAAACATTTCTTTTAATGACTTGAAATATTATATCTGGGATTATTTTAGCTCTCAAACATCTCTTTTTTTTTCAATCAATTTTATTTGTTTGTATTTATTTCAGCTTTTAAACACCGCCCTTTGTTCATTCAATTTGATTTTAAGCCTTAAAAGCAACATATAAACACATGTGTAATATGATTTAATGACAACACAGAGCTTTACAAGGCTTACACAATATTTTATTTTAGACAAGCAAACACACATGGCTGGTAATCAAGTAATCCTAAACCAATTTAAACTAAAGCATCACAGCCTTTGTCACCGTATAAATCTAGATATATATATATTTAGATATCCTTTTGATTTTTATTGGCTTTCATTTTGAATGGGGTTTTTGGTTTTGTTTCTGCCCCCTTTTTTGTTGTCGCCTCATTTGAATTTTGTTTTGATTGCAAAAAGTTAATTAAAAATTTGTTGTAATTGAATTTTATTGCATTGTTTGTTTGCATTTTGTTTTGCTCAGATGAATTTCTCTTTATGTTTTTGTTAAATTATTTGTATTTTGTTTTTGTAGAGTTTTTGGTGAAGTTTTTTCTATATTTTTTTGTATGTTGTCCAGCCATTATGCCATTGGGTTTTTTTTTGCGTTTGGCCTTAATTGGATTATGGCTAACAAAAAAACACAACGAGTTGTAATTAAATGATGAGCTCCGGCAGCCGGGGATCATCATAGCCATAGCCATCGTCCTTGTCCAGCTCCGGTTCCCAGCACAACGGATTGCACACAATCTCAAAGGGCAGCGGTGTGGAGTCCTCTTCCTCTTTGGGTGGAGTAACCTTAAGTTTGGGCTGGGTTTGAGCCAAAGACATGGCCAGGGGCTTAATCCAAGGCGTTGAGGGGGGACACTCCATCAGGGTATCGCTGGCAAAACGCTGGCAGCTCAATAGATCCACAAGAAGGCCCAGAAACATAATGTGTAAGAACTGTGATGCCTCGACGCCCGTTGCCACTGCACTGACCAAAGTCACTCCGAAACCCGGGTGGCATTCGGAGCCCACAAAATTCACACACACACACACACACACACACACAGAATACACACAACACACAGAACACAGAACACACACAACAGCTGCGGCTCAACCGAAAAAAGCTGCGAATTGAGTAATCAGAATTGGCAAATGGATGGATTAC